TCTTGTCGTCCAACATATTTGGCTCTTTTTCGGCCAATAATCTGATATATGTCTTGAAAACTCGGAACCAATGGTCAAGCAGTTTAAAGACATGGAACTGATGGACCAGTCTTTGCGAACATATCTTGATTATATGAAAGTGCATTTGAATGAACACTTTTGACTCAAATTCAATCAAATAATTAGTAAATTGACTGCAATTGAAGATTGCCGTCAAAAGTGACACTTTTGTCAAGTCGTTGTCCGTCAGACACGAGACCATCACTTCATTCAAGTCATTATCCACTTTGTATTCATTCAAATCAATGCAAACAATACTTCGCTTTGAAAATAAGTGACTGAATAAATGAATCGCTTTTTGGACATCATTTAGACATATATTGAGTGCCAAAGCGATGGCCAGACCTGAAAGCACTGATGTCTCGGCAAAACTTTTGTCTAACAATACGATTGTCTCCAATCGTGACAAACACTTCGCCAACTCTTCACTCGATTCAAGCAATAATCGGGAAGCGATTGGAGACCGGCTTTCGGTATGTCTTTTGCAATACGATTGCAGACATGAAAGCAAACGTTTGACACATTTATTAATCTCATTGTTGTCAACACATGTCTCCACACTTGCGTTGAAACTAACTATTGATTTCTTTAACGCATCCATGTCTTGGAGCTCATCCATTGCGGTCACACTTGTTGTCAATAGACTTCAGATGAAAACACCAACATAACGCAGCATGCACATTTCATGTTACACAATCAGCTACTGTACAGTGTACACAATTGAGCCTATATTACAACATTGTGTGCACTATTGCACTACACGTGCGATCGTTTCCATCACAACCCTATATATGATTACTCAATACTTCCGTATGAATAAAGCTATAAAACTCTTCCCTTAAGCCTCAATGGGTTTCAACAATTGTTGGCAATTGGATTGGATTGACTCAATCTAATTGTATATATGATTTAATGATATGTGTATGTAATTGTAATAATGAGCATGTTCAATTTGAATTGAGTTGCAAATTTCAATGGTTTGTGTGCCGGTGTGTGTGTGTGTTGTGTATGCCATACACGAGAGGGCATAGTATGGCATAAGAGGGTGTATTAGTGTTTGGATGGCTTGCATGGACTGCAGTGAAGGTGACATACAGTGAGTGAATGAGTGAATTGACAACACATTGTGATTGAGTGACCACTTATTCAGTGATTGTCCCAAACAGTGATCATTGCGTTCATTGGACACCACTATTGGCACCACATTTTCACGGATCCCGTAGTCTTCACATTGATGTCTACTTAATATCCATTGGAAAGAGTGTCGCCGACAGAAGTGATCACTCGAATGGATCCCGAATTAATACGAGTGAAAGTGGCCTTCAATGGGTTGGTCTTCGCCACTGATTATCACTAATAATGGTTTGACTAATGACTTTGTTTTTGCCATTTCAGACAAATTATGGTCATTTACATCAAAGATGATATATATCTGAATGACTTGTGTAACGAAATACGTGACATTTGCCGCTTCGGTTCCCAACACAGCTTCACCATGAAATGGGTCGATGAAGAAGGTATCCATCACTTGATCCCATTATCACCGCTTTCCACTCAAATCACCCAACATTTTAAACCCAAATCTTGTTTTTTGATTGCCTCTAGAATTAGTTTAATAATTTGAAAGTTATTTTTGACATCTATTTGACATTTGATGCCATAAACCTATACATGAATTGTTAGTTTGTGTGCATTTTTAGATTTAATTTCATTATGAAATTTTCATATCAAATAATTATTGTTGAGATGTTTGTATCAAATGTATTGAAGGCTTAACTTTATTACCGGTGCTCTCAATACCTGTTGCCTGTGTTTGGTTTGAATTGAACGGCACAACCATAGAGACTACAGAGCTATCAGTTTCTAACGAAACACTTATCATGTTTCCGGTGTTTTAGTCAATCCTTACTATCCATTCATTATAACAACTTTTCTTCAATTATATTTCATTTAATGTTAATTAAAAGCCACAATGAATTCACTGCTGTCTTGCTTTAGAGCACCGACTCTTAACCGCTATTATTTCGGTATATTTGAAGTGCATTTGACATAATAATAATGAATTGATGTGCTTTCAGGTGATCCGTGTGTCATCTCATCGCAAGCAGAGCTCGAAGAAGCCATTCGTTTATATGAAGTTAATAAAGATTCCGAGATTACAATTCATGGTATGTTTTATCCGGGATTATCCGCCACTTAAGTGATCCCTTATTAAAGCTAACAATTAATATATTGATATATTGTGTTTGTTTGACACAAGTATTCGCAAGTGTGCCACAAGTGCCCGGACTTCCCTGTCCTGGAGAAGATAGTATGTATTTCATCACTCGTTGTTTAGAAATCTATTAATGCTTTTATGAATCATTTATTAGAGAGTATATACAGAAGAGGAGCGCGAAGATGGAGAAAACATTATAGGCTTAACGGACATATATTTCAGGCCAAAAGATTCAATCGAGTGAGTCTTTGTTAATGTTTACTTTGTTTCTGTTGTAACTAATAAATACAATACATGTATAGATATGAAGTTATACTTAATAATGATAACTACCGGTAATACAAACTACTGGTACTTTTATAACGGTTTTAAAAGAATTGTGTTACACTTACTCTCTTTCCTTTACAAATTGTTTTCATTTTTACAATACATTTCCGATTCAAGTATTTATTTATAATATTTGATAACTTTTGGTATTAGATATCTTTAACTTATTTGAATAATAGTTTCAAATTTTGTTTATAATTTATTAATGCTTTGAAGACTTATTGCTAGAATGACACACATATAAACGCCCTTTTATTTAAATTTGTATGTTAACAAATGCTATATAATTTTAATAAGTTTTTATTACACTTCTGGCCTTCATTTCTTACATGAAATGCTAACCCAATTAATATTTTGATGAATACAGAGAGCGTTTTGCGCGTATTGTTCCGATCGTATCTGGGGTTTAGGGCGACAGGGATTTAAATGTATGAACTGTAAGCTAATGGTGCACAAGAAATGCCATAAACTATTCAAACACCACTGCACGGGTCAGGCGGACCATCAGTCATCCGAGAGCACGCCGTCCACTCCCGGTAACCCTTCTCGCGATGCCAACGGAGACGTGACTATAATTAGCAATAGTGTCGTCCGTTCGGGAACTCCCGCACGAAAGAGACATAACTTTAATTCGGGAAACAGTATAAGCGCTGCCTTACAAGAGAACGACAACAGCGAAGTGCGTTCGGGTCAAGACGTGGACGCGAATGATATATTAAGCGGCAGTGAATCGCATCAGTATTCGCTCAAAGACTTTGAATTACTGCGAGTTATCGGTCGCGGCTCTTATGCCAAGGTTTTGATGGTTGAGCTCAAGAAAACCAAAAGAATTTACGCCATGAAAGTGATTAAAAAAGAATTAGTGACCGACGATGAAGACATCGATTGGGTTCAGACCGAGAAACATGTTTTCGAAACGGCATCTAATTATCCATTCCTTGTGGGCCTTCACTCGTGTTTCCAAACTGCCAGTCGGTTCGTAACCAAAACACTCACATTTTTCATTAGTAAATAACTCGTTACTAATTGATTGAAACAAATATTTAGATTATTTTTTGTGATTGAGTTCGTTCGCGGAGGAGATCTTATGTTTCATATGCAGAGACAGCGGCGGTTACCCGAAGAACACGCCCGCTTCTACTCCGCTGAGATCTCTTTGGCGCTCAATTTCCTCCACGAAAGAGGTTATAATCTGTTATAATATTAGATTAAAACTTTTAATTATATTTTTTATATTACTTTAGGCATCATTTATAGGGACTTAAAGCTCGATAACGTAAGTGTTTAATCTATGGTGTTAAGCGTTATTCCTATATCAATACATTTGTTAACAACAGGTACTGCTTGACCACGAGGGACACGTTAAACTCACCGACTATGGCATGTGTAAAGTAAGTGCCATTTACTGTCAATTAATGAGTTTGTCGTCTAAATGAGCCATTGATTGTGACAATAGGAAGGAATCCGTAACGGAGATACGACCAGTACTTTCTGTGGAACTCCTAATTATATCGCACCCGAAATCTTAAGGGGAGAGGACTATGGTTTGTAGCAATGATTTGTAGACATTTGCCATTACTTATAGTTTGACATATTTGACTGAATTTGTATAGGTTTTGAGCCGGACTGGTGGGCATTGGGTGTTCTACTATACGAGATGCTTGCGGGTCGTTCACCATTCGATATCGTGGGCGCATCCGATAATCCGGATCAAAATACTGAAGATTACTTATTCCAAGTGATTCTCGAGAAGACAATACGTATTCCGCGTTCTATTTCAGTGAAGGCTCAGTCCGTTCTCAAAGGCTTTCTCAACAAAACTCCAACCGAACGGCTCGGATGTCATCCGGAAACAGGTTTTTCGGACATCACTAATCATCCCTTTTTCAAGACTATTGATTGGGAATCGGTATTCATTGTTTGCAATTGTGTCGTTACGAGTATTCACTCATTTATTATCACGTTTTACAGTTGGAGGGAAAACAAGTGCCGCCTCCTTATAAGCCCAAACTGGAGACCGATCGAGATTTAGAACATTTTGACCCACAATTTACAAATGAGCCAGTACAGCTCACGCCTGATGACCCGTAAATATGATCCATTGTTTGCTCAAACTATCACTTTCTAAACCATTGCATTGATTGACAGGAAAACCATCGAAAAGATCGATCAGTCGGAGTTTGAAGGCTTTGAATACGTGAATCCATTGTTGATGTCTCTCGAAGATTGTGTTTGATTTGTAATCATAACAACTAATTGTATCTAATTGTGCAAAGAATGCAATTAATGTTAACTTTGATTGGTTGCCAATTGTATAAATAATTTGAATTCACAAAATTATACACGCGATCAATGGATGTCAGAACAGAGGAAATCACATTCCGTCCAATACTTGTTTGAAATCAATTGTTTTGTTCAAGAAAGTGACAAATCTATTAATTGCCTATTTTTTTAAAACAGTTTATTATCATGTGTTAAATATATTAAATTGTAAGCATTCGGCTACTAATTGAATCAAATTTTATTTTAATTAATTATTACAATTCACATATCTAACACACATTTTCAATATTATAATTCATTTGAATAGATCTGAATTTTAACGATTGATTTCTTAAAATATAGTATTATTATTAACTATTGTTTTTAATTCCAAAGTTCTGTTGAGTGCCTGAAAGTAATATTTAAATTACTTTCAAAAACAGCCTCACATTCCAAGTGTTATTGTATTAAATTTTTATACATTTCTTATTTATACAGTTTTTGATAAATAAATTGAAAATTAAAATTATTTGAATATAAAGTTTCGAAACATTAAATCGATGGACAAAACATCGTTTGGTTATCAATACATTTAGAGCAGATATGGCTGTAATTGAATAGTGTTTTTAATTGTTAAGCATGTCTAAAACTGGGCTATTGATTACTATGGTCGAACAGTATTGATTAATACAGTAATCGGTTACAATCTAGATGCTGTTTGAGTGGAGAATAGTAATATTAATTTTATGAAATATAAAATTACAACAATTAAAAATTTTACGGTAAATGTATATACTTTGAATGTGAACACCTGTAGATTGGATGCCTCGAATTCCGTGTCAATGAATCCCATAGGAATATCATTACTCATAGACTTAATATTACCAAGACATTGAAATTGCATATATTTATCGGTGCATAGTATCAGTGCGAGTGTCCGGATGTCCACCGATCACGTACTGAGAGTCACAGCCGTTTGATGTCGCATATAAATGCATATTTCATGGGTTAACGCATATTTCAACTATAACTGCATTATAAGCGCATATTTTGACAAATGTAAAAATGTATGCGTTTTATGTTTATAAACCTAATGTTTGAATATTTAATTATGTAAAAACTAATTTAAATATGCCAATAGTATAAATCTAAATTCATTGATGTAAAATATTTACCATATTGTTTACCAAAATTGACTAAAAAACTTGATAATAAAATTTGCTAAAATGTGTATGAATTTGAAATAATAGATAAAATTGAAGCATATTTAGGCAAAACACCTCAAACTATACTTAAATATTTACAAATTTACTAAATATCCCTATAATTTATAAATTAATTGCAAAATTATACACTAAAACTCCATAAGTCGAATCCTCTATAACTCGGAACCCTCTATAACATTATCCCCATGTTAAAGTACATTATGGTATAGCCATAGACTTAAGCTGTAATCCCATTAAATCTTAAGGTGGGGGAGGAGGGAGAGGGGTGGTGTCAGCGATCCTATAAACCACACTATTTATTCAAATCTGAATTGTGGTTAAAAATGTAGTTTTCATTAATGGTATTGAATTGTGGGTCAAATTGTGGGTCAAATTGTGGGTCAAATTGTGGGCAACGGGTATAAGAACTCATAGAGTTGTGGTCACGGGTTTGCTTACATCTCATGTTATTTTTGATTTAAAGAAAGTCATGTGAATTGAAATGACTATTCATTTAATAACAATGAATTAAATGCGGAATTATTTTGAAAAACATGTTTTCGTAAAAATATTGAGTTAAATGTTTGCCTCTTTAACGCAGACTTGTGTCGTATCTATCGATGAGACAAACTCTTTGAAT